CTGCTTTCGGCTACAATGGCATAGTCAACATTTTTTATTATTATTATTATAACATGTTTGAGTTCAAGTCCCACATTACAGATTTCAATTCAGAACCTGAGGTGACACTTCTGTGCAGAAACCCGGTAGTGCTGCATTATGAGACATATTAAACAAACGTCCCGTCTACTTATTCAAGTGAACATTAATGTTGCTATGACACTGTTCAAAACACGAAGGGAGTTTCTCTCGGCATAATCCTCCAGATTAATTATTCACCTCAGGGCTGTTTATGGGTCCTTGCTGGTGCAAATGGTTGTCATGTTTGTCGAGGTAACCAGTCACTATTATCAAAATGGCAACATTAAATAAGACTAACCTATTATCATCCTCTTAATACCTTAATACCTAATGTTATACATAATATATATGCAGATAATCCAGAACTCTGCAGCCCATGTCCTCTCCCGCACCAAACTCCGTGACTCCATCTCCCCCATTCTTGCCTGACTCCATTGGCTCCCTATCCTTCAGAGGATCCAGTTCAAGATCCTGGTCTTCACCTACAAAGCCCTCCATGGCCTCGCCCCACCCTACCTCTGCGACCTCCTGAACCTCTACCAACTCAGCCGCTCCCTCCTCTCAGCCGGCTCCAGCCTGCTCCACTTTCCGCAACCCACGCGCCCCACCATTGGCGGGAGAGCCTTCAGCCACTCTGCCCCCAACCTCTGGAATTTCATCCCCCAATCACTCTGCCTCGCCCGCTCCTTAGCCTCCTTCAAGTCCCACCTCGAGACCCTCCTCTTCGACCATCGGCCACCCCCTTCCCCTCCACTCCCTTCTTCCCCCCGACCCCAGCTCGGGTCTGAAATGCTGTATACTGTCCATCGCCTTGGGACGTCCTCCCGACGTGAAAGGCACTATACAGATGTAATCTTGTTGTAATAATACTATTCCTTGCATTTAATATAGTGCTTTATCACGTCTTCGAGATGTCTCAAAGGGCTTCACCGAATATGCTGTAAAGTGAATTGGCTGTACATTTTGTGGGCAAAATAGTAGTTGAAACCTGACTATAATTAAGTGTGAAGTACTTTTGAGACATTTCAGCATGATGAGGTGTTATAAAATGCTATTTTTCTTTACAGTAGCCTATCTCTGAAGGAGCTGAATATAAATAGCTTCAAGCTAATTGAATTACATTCATTGCTCATAAGGCTACAATCTGCTTAGAATTATGCTTATTTTAAAATATGTTTGCAAAAACAACTAATAAAGGCAGGACCATCTTGTGGGTGGGAGAGAGTTAAGCAGGATCTCATTGGAGCTGAACCGGAATATATGAATGAAGTCAATCCTCAGTGATGGTTCTCAGAAGTCTAATTCCTGAGCTCCAAGTCCCTGTTGCTGACAGATCATTTAGTTTGGCTGAAAGCACATCTTGGAGTTGCAGATCAGTCACTGGGAGCAAGGATTCGTCCCACTCAGCTCCTGTTAACTTTATAAGCCAAATCCCTAACTGGGAGGGTGATCTTAGCTGGACAAGCAGTGAGAAGCTTGTCAGACATTGTGTTCAATGTGGGTACAAAACATCAGCCTATCTCACTTGGTTAGAATCAAATGGCACAAAAATGGGCCATTCAGGCGATCCATGATGGGCTAGGCTAGCCCATTGCACACAGCAGTGTCCCACAAACATAGGATTGTTGGCCAGGATACCCATGCACCTCCAGAATTGCCCTGGAGTGTCATCTTAGACTATGAGCTCAAAGTACCAACATAGAACTTGAATTCATAGCATTTCTAACAGGTGAGAGTTGAGTCAAGTTGATACCGGAAGCGTGGTTGATGGGGCTGGGCTTCTATGTCTGTTGGGCATCTGGCTGATCAATTAATCCAGCTGAAATTACTTACATGTAACTGATTAAACATTATTCTGTGTCATGAGCAAAACATTCAGCCCATTGAACCTGTGGTCAAGTGAAGTGGCATCTCTCATGGGTCTCATTAATTATGTGTGTGTGTAGGTTTGTGTATTTTATATTGTATATGTAAGAGTATTGGTGGTAGAATCACAATAGTAGTGATTATACTGCAAACATTTCCAAATAACACATGTAACTTATTTTAAAGTAAACATTGATCAAATCCCAACTAAGAGCAGGTTTGCTTTGCCTTTCGTCTTTTCCTAATTGGACAGTTATTCAAATACAGTATAGCACCAGATGTTAAGGAAAAGGAAATGGATTATTTTTCTTTTAATTTATTTTATTCATTTTGGTAGTCTTATTTCCATTGCATCAAATGTCCACTGGTAACGATTACAAAGTTATCTGGACACCCAGACATTGAATTCTTTTTAGTACAAATATTGGTATGAATTGGTTTACAGCACACGTGCTGCTTTCTGTGCGCTGTAGTTCACAGAATACCTGTACAGTAGATCCTCGGCTTACCAGTATCCGGAATTCAAACCTAGCTGGAATGGGCCCAAAACCTAGATATTAAACAAACTAGTCCTTGGACAAGAAATTTCCATGGGCCCACAGACTCCTGACTCCGAGCGCTCACCAGTGCAACGCTGGGCAGGCTCACTGTTCTTGCGGCCTTCATGGTGGCCAGCGATAACAACTTTGACTGAGTTTGAATCCTACCAGCAGAAAATAGCTTATTCGCTATCTTCTGTTCGTGGGATTCAAACAATTACAGTGCTGGTACCGGCATGTAGCAGCATTTTTTCAGCATTCTTGAAAAATACTGGGTACTGGCATTATGATGCTTGCTGGACCAGATCTCCCCCCACACACACATCCATTAGTCTGGCTAGCTGAAGCTTAATTATACTTCATCTCTGCTCCATCTCTGGTTTTCCCTCAGGTGGGCAGCCGACCCACATGAAGATCAAGGACTACATATGCAGTACATACTGTGGATAAATAAATAAGATGCCCATCAAGTCTGCTCCTGGGAGAATCCCCTTACTCCAGCTCTCTCCAGCTCCACCATATACAGAACCCAGTTACATCAAAATTCCACCACCCAGATACTCACCCACACAAAACAACAACAACAACAAGATTCCATTTATAGAGCGCCTTTCACGTCAGGAGGACGTCCCAAGGCGCTGTACAGTTGGGTCAGGACCTGAGCAGGGGGGAAATGGTCAGGGTGAGGGGAGGGAAGGGAGGGAGCGAGGAGGGGGTAGAGAGTCGAGAGGGGAGCTGAAGGCTCTGTACCCCCATCACACCAGTCCTTGCGAGGCTCCACTGGCTCCCAATCACCGAACGGATCGACTTTAAGATCCTCTCACTTGTTTTCAAATCACTTAATTCCCTCGCACCTCCCTACCTATCCGACCTGCTTACCCCCAACTCCACCACCCACTGCCTCTGCTTGCCTGGCTCTGGCTTCCTAATTGTCCATCACCTCCTCCGCTCCACCATCAGTGGCCATGACTTCAGCCACTACACCTTGAAACTGCAACTCAATCTCTCCACCTTGCCCCTTCCCTCCCCACATTGAAATCCCACCTAAAGAAATTCCCTTTTGATCATGCCTAAGGTCACCTCCCCCCCTCCCTCTTCACTTGGCTCGTTGTCAGACTCCGTCACTGTGAAGCGTCCCGGGATGCTACCCCACGTGAAGGGCGCTGTATAAATGCAAGTTGTTATTGTTGTCATTCACCTACACATCTGTCCTGGTGCTGGTCACTTGGTCATATAACCATGTGAGCCATATTTTAAAGGCATACTTAGAATACACTGTAGAAAGGGACAATGAGTGCATATTTAATAGGCATTTCTATCTACACTAAAAAGGAGGAATTATGCCATGGTTAAGACCTGGTTGTATAGTCATTCACCTACACATCTGTCCTGGTGCTGGTCACTTGGTCATATAACCATGTGAGCCATATTTTAAAGGCATACTTAGAATACACTGTAGAAAGGGACAATGAGTGCATATTTAATAGGCATTTCTATCTACACTAAAAAGGAGGAATTATGCCATGGTTAAGACCTGGTTGTATAGTAATGTGGGTATTTCTTGTGTTTTAATGCAAATTTTGTGTAATTTACACTGATTATTTCTAAATGGAAAACATTACAAATGTCTTAATCATGCCAAAACATATTGTGGTCCTACATAATTTTCATTTGAAAACAAAAGCAGTACAATGTATTTTTTTTATTGTACAGTTGGCTCAAAACATTAGGTGGTGTCTATTTATTACAATATGATTTATAATATTATGTTGGATGTGTTTCAGCAAAATTATGATTTGTGATAAAATAGTTCAGCAGCCAAGGGGATCTAAAGGCTCTCTGAAGAATCCAAGTAAATGAAGATTAATCTCCCAGAAATCTTTTACTGCCACAGAGAAAATGTGACAATAAGAAGATAACTGATAGTACAGTTATAGCTGTGGTGTAGTGCTGCTACTCACTAACCATTTGTCAAGGTCACAATCTCAAACAATGCCTCAGTGAGAGCCACTGTCAGGGATCCAGCATCATACTGTACTGATTGGTGAATTTCAGTCAAGCCACTTTGGTAGCGTTCAAATGAAAACCAGGCACTTAAAACAGGAAAAGAGAAAAATAAATTATACAACTAATAGTTCTATTAAACATTTTATTTGGACATTTAACTTGCTTTATGTGATAGTCCTAACTTTGAATGGCATTCTTGGCCTTTTATATTGGAAAGCAAGAGAAGCAGAAACCATAGCATTTAATCCATTGATAAAGGCATTGGAAAAGTCAGCTCTGGGGGTGATAAATACATCGATGAGTGTTTCAGCTGCATTGGGAATGAGGCAGAGACAGGGGATGTTGTAGAACTGGAAGAAAGCTGAGATAAAAAGTTTAAAGGAGAGTTGGCAAACATTTTTTTTTCCCCTCCAGAAAAAGTAATCAGTTGAAAAGATGCTTCCTTAGGTGCCTATACAGGAAATGATCATGTGCAATTTTGTCTGAACTGCCTTCACTTATTTATAAAAATGTATTGTTTTCCATCAGCTTCTGGATGTGTTGGAGAAATACTGCATGGCAGCTGGGTTGGATTATCGTCGACTTGATGGAGGAACTAAGAGCGAGGAAAGGGTCAGGATAGTGAAGGAATTCAACAGCACACAAGATATTAACATTTGCTTGGTGTCCACAATGTAAGGAGTAGAATTTTAGATATGTTTTTATTATTTAATGTCTTTACATTTCTAGTTCTAATTGTCTATAAATGGCCAGTTTTGCATTTTACAATGTATTTTTCGTTGCAGGGCTGGTGGCTTGGGGTTGAATTTCGTTGGAGCAAATATTGTTGTGATGTTTGACGCAACATGGAATCCAGCTAATGACTTGCAGGCTATTGACAGGCATGTGCTTTCTTTGTTTTTTGGGAGTCTTGTATTGTTTCCTCTTTGGGCCATTCGACCTTCCCGACAAGTAAGAAAAAGAGCAGATGACCTATTCATATACTTCTCCGAAACTAGCCTGCTGGTGGCCACTAGGAAGCATGCAGCAGCAGGGTTTTGATGATTATTAATATTGGAAACAATGTTAGTTTTGATGCAGGAGTTTACATACGTTTACTAAATTACACTACATCAACAATATTAATTTTAGATAAAATTTATTTCATTAATTAATAGGTAACATGTAGCCCAGAAAGTCTGCTCCTTCCACAGACTAAGTACAATCTACCCCTTCATAAACTTGACTTCACCCATCTGAAAGATCTTGCAAAAATTCTCCTGCCCCCCCCCAAGTCATCGAGCAGAATATCCGAGTCAACTCTGTCCTGTTGCTTTCCAGAGGTAACATTTCCTTAGCAGCAGCTCAGGAATCCGTGTGTTCCATTGAATATTTGATCATCTCTTACTATACTTACCTTCTAACTTTCAATCCCATTCCTAATCAGGTATTTATCCAAACCTTTTTTAAAACAATGATCTATACAGCATATCCACTGCTCTGTGAGGAAAGCATTTTTTCAAAGCTCTAGTCTCACTTGAGGCTTGTTAAACATTCCGTAGTTCTGTGCTTGTATTCAAGTTTAAACAGACTGCTTGCATCTGCTTTATTCATGGCTCTCGGGGATTTTAAAGAGCTAGACCCTATTTCTTGATGTTTTTTCCAAAAAAAAGTTCAGGTTCTCTGAGTTTCTCATTATAGCAAATCTCAGAATCATCTTCATTACCTTTCTCTCCATTGCATTAATAGTTTAGAAGTACCTTCGGAATGGAACATAATATTCCCGATGTAGGTTCGCAAGTGATCTACACCAACTTAAAAATCACTGATTTGACTTGTAAATAAAATTACAGATCCTAATATTCTTTTCACTTAGTTAACAATTTCACTGCAAATGCTTTAAAAATGATCAATAATCACATCCAAATCCTTTTCCTTTTTGTACTTTTGCAATTCACATCCTTTATCTTGTGCATGTTTGCTATTTCCTCTTACATTGTGTATTATCCTGTTTCTACATCTATTTTTATAAAGTTCCAATTGCTGTTTATCTCTAAGCTTCAATGAATTAGACATTGAGGCAATATTGATTATTAAACGCTGACACATCAGCATGCACACATACACACACATTTATATTAACAAACCTCATTTGCTATTATTAATCTGGAGCTATGCTATTCCAATGTGATTGCAGAGGATACAGTTCATGATTCTGGTCCTCACCTTCAAAGCTCTCCGTGGCCTCACTCCCCTCTACCTCAGCAATCTCCTAACCCCCTATCAACCTGCCTGCTCCCTCCGCTCAGTGGGCTGCTTCACATCTCGCACCTCGCCCGCCCCACCATTCGTGGGTGGGCCTTCTGCCATCTCGCAGTCCCTCCACCCTTGCCCCCTCCCTTGTCTCCTTCAAGACCCATCTCAAGATCCTCCTCTTCAACCGTGCTTTTGATCACCTTCCTTCCCCCCCACCTTCGCCAATCACGACCCCCAGCTCGGGTCCAAAACACTGACTGTCCAGCGCCTTGGGACAGCCTCCCAATGTGAAAGGTGCTATACAAATGTAATTTTGTTGTTGTTGCTATTAACATTCTGTTATAACTTCCAACAAATTCTTTTTTTGTATCGCTACAGAGTTTATCGGATTGGTCAGTGCAGAGATGTCAAAGTATTTCGTTTAATCTCATTGGGTACTGTGGAAGAGATTATGTACCTACGTCAGGTCTATAAACAAGTGAGTAACTACTGTACAGTGATATTGTTTGCTTTTAATCTAGGTGATACTTTATATTTTTGTTTCCAAAATAATCTTTTTGAAGGGTGAATGTAATTCTCAAAGAATGTCTGCTGAAATGAACTCTTGACATCCCATAGGTTTGCTGAAGCTGTATTGGAAGAATTGTTATGAATTAAAGTTGCTGATTTTCTGTAGTTTCTGGCACATTCATGCTTTAGAGTTCTCCACTTAAATGTTGGGGCAAAAAAAATGTGGCTGACAGGGAAATCCCCAGTGCAATTCCATGTGTTTTATACTGACTCTGAACTCCGCTCCAAGGTGGTCCCAAGTAACTCCATTCACAGTAAATCCCATGAAGCGTCTTGAGATGTCCTCCCAATGTGAAAGGTGCTACACAAATGTAATTTTGTTGTTGTTGGTTGGAGTTAAGTTCTTACAATCGCATGATCTACACATGGGGTTCCTTGCAGGATATGCACTTTACGTTCCAAAGTTGAATTGCAATTCCTTCGATAGCTGAATTGAGATGGTTGTGATTTAATACACGTATAATAATAATCCTTGAGTTTGGTAAAGCATCTTTCATGTTGGGAAGATGTCCCAAAGCGCTTCATGGGAGTTACTATGAAGTGGAGTTACTGTTTGTTTGTGAGCGAATGCGGCAGCCAGTTTGCCAGTGGGCTGGGTAGGGTGTGTGACGTGATGCAGGCTAGTGCCTGCCGAGCAGTGGGAACGAGTGGATTGGTAGGTAAATATTTTTTGTTGTTAGTAATAACGATGAATAATCAAGATCGTGCCATGTGAGCAGCTCTGGTATTTATAAAGAAAAAGTATCAGAACCAGCAAGTTTCACAAACTGATAAATAATAATCCTTCAATGAAAGTGTAAAGATGTGCCTCTTATCAAATTGTCACAAGTGATTTTAGGAGAGGGAATGATCTGCCTCCTCTGGGGATATTAGGGTTTAAATGTCATAACATTAAGATTCGAGGCACATTGCGTGTTTTCTCTTAGTGAATTAAATGAGAAGTGTCCTGATGACATTTTGCAACTGTACGCTTGAAAAACTCAAAACCCCTGGGAATTACTGCTTGTATCGATTAAAACTGTCTATCTTTTTTAAATATTAGGAAATGTATATTGTGGGATTTTGAAGTTTAAAATTTATTTTTTACTCAATGCTTTAGCAACTGCACTGTGCGGTTGTCGGAAGTGAAAATGCAAAGCGATACTTCAGTGCAGTCCAAGGATCAAAAGAGCACCCTGGTGAGCTGTTTGGCATCCACAATCTTTTCAGGTTTCGGACGGGGGGTGCCTGCTTGACACGGGATATTATGAAGGTGAGGAAAACCACAAACTCTATTTTGGAACAGTCATGATAGAATTTTGATAGAAATCAAATACTTTGATATTTTATTATTTTCTAAATTCATGTGACTTCTTCCACCCCCACCATCCCCTCCCCCCCCCCCCCCCCCCACACACACACACCCACTACAGGTTTGTTTATTTGACTTGTGTGGTGAAAACATTGCATTGAAAATTCCAATCAACTTGCTTCTCACATTTTGAAGCTCATATATGTGGTTATAGTTTTCTGCAGAGGTCCAGACTTACTCGTAATGATAATACACGATAGTTACATTATTGTACAGTGGAAATTAATAAGGGCACTACTAAGTGAGTCAATAAAATGGTCTAATTTGCCCTTATCAGTGAGTTTGGGGTTTAAGTCGCCATCAGTTTTGAATGAAAACTGGGCCTGAATATTGAGTTGCTCTCATTACTGAAGTGGCCAGAAAGTGAACTTCCATTGTACTCTGAGTAATATATTTTATTTAAGTATTTTGAATGAGCTCTGGTTTATAACCCAAAATATAGTAGTTTATATTTATTGAGGAAGACCGCAAAGTTGTGCCATTTTGGACCATTTGAGATTTGTCCTTTTGCCCTTTGTAAAATAACTAGGTAATGGGCAGATATTTGCCTAAAGAAATGTCTTTTATTTTCTTTCCATCATTATAAGTAGTTATTGAAATCTGTGATCATAGTCTTAATTTTTGCCCAAGGTGATTTTTTAGAGCACTTCTTTAAGAAATGTTCTTCGTTTCTCGAAGTTCCTTCGATGATTTTCTGTAATCAAAATTTTGCACTAAACATTTTTTTAAACTATTAGCATGGTTTCAAAAAAATCTAAATAAAATCTTGCATAGTTGCAAAAGCCAGTCTATACTTCAAAATTAAAATAGGAGTAGCTTGACAGACTATTAACAAATGGTGTATGTGCTGAATAATCACTTGCTGAACCTTTCTACCTGGTTTGTTCAGTTTATTACATTAATTAGTGATCTAATCTACCTTGTGTTGCAGAGGGAAGGCCAAGTGGAAGCAGGAATGATGACAGCTGCTACACAATTGAGAGAAGAACCTCCAGCGCCGAAGCTGGAAACGGTGAGTTTGCCTTCTTCTCAAGCAGCCATGAGTTGCTGCACCTGGAAACCATGGAGGGACGGGGAATATTAACAACCCCTGTGACTCTTCACTACTTTCTGAACAGTGGTACTTTCTCACACAATCCCTGATTTGACAATCCATGACCCTATGAATTTCTGTGTTCTAGTTTTGGACACCAAGGAAGCCTTTGATTGCAAACTCTTTTTGACAATTGGTGATGTGTGCACAGCAATTCTGGGAACACCCAGATAACGACTGACTGGTGTTGTTTATCTATAAACTGGAAATGTCTGCTGGTGTGTAGAGTTCTACAACATGAGTAATTATCATTATGAAGTTCTTGAAGATTCTGTACTTTAAAAAAAAAGATATTTTGAATTCTATTTAGGAGCATAGAAATTTACAGCACAATCAGGCCAGCAGGTCTGTGCTACCTCTTTGAAAGAGCAATCCCTTTTACTTACTTGCCTTTTCTTCAAATTCACTAAATCTCAATTAATTATAGTGCAGGCCTGTTATAACTTTCTTTTTATAACAATAATAGTGTGTTTCAATTAGGAGAATGTCACAGAAAGCTTCACACTGAGAGCTTAAGCTAGAGTTAATATTAAGTTCACAAACTGGCTCTCGTAATAAAATGTCTAATTTACAAGCCATTGGGTTGCCATCACAGGCAAGCCACAGGAAGTGACCTCAGTGGTGATCTGATCACTCAGAAATTTAGCTTTCCACAATAAAAAAGGCTAACTTCTGGGGCATGTGATCACTGGTGACATAATTTCTTGCTTAATGCATGCACAGCGGAAATGACTTCAGTCTCGATCTTATGACCCAGAAGTCGGCCATTTTTTAGCTCAGGAAGAGCACCGGCCTGCTCTACACATGCACAGTGAAAACAGCTATCATGCCTGGTTATAGCCCTGGTTACAACGATCCCAACCACTGCATGATAATACGGCTCAACTAGTTTTTCATCGCATTGTTGTTCAGCGGACATTGCTGAGATAGATTAACTCCATGCTTTTTTTAAAAAAAACTAGAGCAATATTAAAATAGGTGTAAGGTTATTTTAATGTGTTTTAATCAGAGTACATACTTTGGTAAACTGACTTGAATGTGTCACTGGGTTGAATTTTCAGTGTAAGTGAATTTTTATTTTTACTTTTTATTTAGACCATGGATACAAGAAATGATGTGGAAGAAGATAATGGAGAATTAATAGTAGAATTTGAAAAGGAAAACACATCTGCTATTGGACAACCAGCGCAGTTATTTGACTTCAGCAGTGACAGTGAGACTGAACCTTCACTTGTTACAAAATCAAAGAATGATAAAGGTAGGACCAAAGAAACCAGCAACAGTGCAGATATGAGAGGACAGCTCACGTTACTCCAGTGTGGGTTTTCCAAGCTCCTGGAGGGAAAAATAGATACTAGAGAGGAATGCAGCGAAAATGACTCCAGCTCAGACAATGAATCATCTGACAGCCAGTGTGAAGAAGAAACTTCAAGCAATGTTATAGGTGCCCCACTTGCAAAGGCAGATCACAGACTCAACTATACCACAACTTCAGAGCCCCAGTCAGCTGCTCATGGACACACACTGTGTGCGAAAGAAAAGGTTTGCCAAAACTGGAGCGATTCCAGTGATTCCGAGGCAGATTTAAGAAGTGAACATGAGCATCCCGGTACTTCGGGGAACGCTGCAGTTGCCTTGGGAACTGACAGCAACACAGAAGAGAGTGATGATGTCATCCTCCCTTCACAGGCGGCTGAACAAAAGAAAAAAACACTTGCCAAGAAGAAAACTGGGCGTGATTTCCTGTCAGAAGATTTAGAAAGTTCAGATGATACAATACAATACAATACAAAATTACATTTGTATAGCGCCTTTCAAGTCGGAAGGACGTCCCAAGGTGCTGGACAGTCAGGAATTTCAGATAATGAAAAATTCACCAGCATTTCCAGTAAAAACAACACTTTGTTGCCCTGTAAACACTCAGGATTTTCCAGGGCTAAAGCAGGTGTTCTAGACCAACAATCCATGTTGGCAAAGGGGAAACACTCAAGTGACACTCTGCAAATCATAGTTGAAGACAGCGTCAGTGATGAATCTGATGACATTGAAATATCAACAGAGATGCCAGCTAAAAAGGTTAATCAATCTAAACACACAGCAGAGGAACACAGGAAAGGCTTTTGCAATAAACCTCAACTCCTTCAAAATACAGCCCACCACGACAGCAGTGAGGACTCTGAGAACATTGGTGAATTTACATCATCTGGAGAAGATGTTCCCATCAAAAGAACCCGGCTTATTACTGAACAAAGCAGGGTTCAGTTTTGTCATAAGCCAAGGCCAGAGAAAGTTGCTAAAGGTAAAGCAAAGCGGGTCAAGTTTAAAGAGGGGTCTCCTCAGCACATTCGAGCAAACAGAAAATGGAGTCATGAGGAGCAGGCTGGATCAATGGACAAGTTATTGGGTAATTACAGATCTAACAATTATTTGCCTACATAGTGTTAGGTGTGTCAGTTTGGCTCAATCTTGTCTCTGTATCAGATGCAAGCCCCATTGGGACCTGGAACTCGTACTCTAGGCTGACACTCCAAATGTAGTGTTGGAGATGTGCTAAATTATCGTAGGTGCCATCTTTCAGATGAGACATTAAAACAAGGTCCAGTCTGCCTGTTCAGGAGAAGATTTAAGATCCCATGGCACTACTATCTTTGAAAAGAGAAGGGAGTTTCTCCCAATGTCCTGGCCAATCCCCCAAATAAAATTGGTCATTCAATTAATGGCTGTTTGTAGGATATTGCTGTGTGCAATTTGCTATGTTCACCCACAAAAATACAGTCAATCCACTTTACAGGAAATCCTGTGAAGCACTTCGAGACTTGATCAATGCTGACTTGAAAGATACTACAACAACAATAACTTGCACTTATATAGCACCCTTCACGCAGGGTAGCGTCTCAGAGCGCTTAACAGTGGCGGAACCTGACTGAGCCGGGGGGAAGGGGGAGTTGGCCGTAAGCACGATCTAACAGGAAAGTTTTCAGGCGGGACTTGAAAGGAGAGAGAGAGAGAGGTAAGGCGGAGGGATTGAGGGAGAGTGTTCCAGAGTTTGGGGGCTGAAAGCACGATCTCCGATGGTGGGGTGGAGGGTGCGAGGGATGAGCAGGAGACCAGTGCTAGTCGAGCGGAGGCGCTGGGTGGTGGATTGGGGAGTGAGGAAGTCAGTGAGGAATTGGTATTTTTATGAAATGGATTTGTATGAAATTTGCCTTCTCTGTAATTAGATTCCATGTAAAATTCATTATGTGTGACCTAAAACATATGCCTTTTATTATTGTCTGCTGGATGCAATCCACAATGAACAATGCTTTAAGACAATAAACCAGTAAATGGTATATTACCAACTTGATTTGAGCCCATTCCTCTTAGAATCATAGAATTCTATAGAAAGAAAGAGTTCGACCCATCTTTGGTGATATGTGAGAGTGATGAGCAGATTGTGGATTCAGTCTTTAGCCCTTGATTTGTATGATGTGCAGCAACTCAGCTAGAATAGGGAAAGGAAAGAAATGTGGGTTGTGCCAAATCATCTGCACTTCTAATTTGATGCCTTAATTAAAATTGCTTGCAAGTCCCTCACATTACTATTGATAATAATAATAATCCTTGCATTTGATATAGCGCTTTTCACGTCGGGAGGACGTCCCAAAGCGCTTCACAGAACACACTGTAAAGTGAATTGACTGTATATTTGTGGGCGAACGCGGCAGCCAATTGCGCACAGCAATGTCCCACAAACAGTCGTAGATTGAAAATGACCAATTTATTATTGTTTTGTTTTGGAGGGATTATTATTAGGCTCTGTGTGGAGTAAGGAAACTTGCCCAAGGTTTCGCCCTGCCTGGAATTGAACTCGGGTCTCTCGCTTGCAAAGCGAGTGCTCTAACCACTGAGCTGCAGGACTCCACAAAGTTGGTAGTTGAAGATTAGTTATATAGTGAACCCTGGAATAGAACATAATAATGGAGGAACAAAGTCCAAACATTGATATTGAAGAAGCTAATTCCTAGCAAGCTGAGGAACATGTATTGAATTTAAATGTATTTTACAGGTGATTCCGATTGAATCCAAGGATTTTATCCCAATAATAAAATAGTGTGCCAGACTTATCAATTCTCTGCCTCTGTTAATAGTTAGCCTCTCATTTGATTGAAAAAGGTAAGAGGTGAAAATTAGCAGTGTTTTGTTAATGTAATTCTGTTTAGATAAACTGTGAGTGAAATTTAAAGGAAAGATAAATTAGAGAAATTATACTTTTGTATAAAATACATATACAGAATAAATGCTGTGATTTCCCACAGCAGCATTCCCCTTTTTAAAAACACCTATTCTGCCTCATGTGTAAACTATGTGTATGTGTAAGAGGGAATCACAGGTGCTCTAAATTATCACAATAACAATGGGAATGATTATCTTGTTAACTATGTAATTAATAAATTCTTTCTGTTTTGTTACATTTTTAAGGACACTTGCAATTACCTCTGTTCACATGATGCCAAATATATATGCATCGACACATGGCAAATAATAAACTCCAGTTATGTACTTAATGATTTTGATAGTAATAGTGCCAGGATTTCTGAAATGTCACAATTTGTTTTGCAGGTGATGTTCAGGAAGTGGCTTTTGTTCATTCAAATCAACGTGTGATTGGATCCAGCAAAGCAGAAAATCGAATGAGTCGCACTGCACTGCGTGACGTGTTTGAATTGAATCGGTATTCCCAGATTCCTGCCAATTTGAACACGAGCGAGGTAAAACCAAGACTTGAGAAAGATCATGCTCTGCATCTATTTTATGCGATAAGAGATAAAATTAAGAATTGTAATCTGGTAATCTGTAATAGAACCTGGAAATTTCCTGCAGGTTCTCCTGAAGGAAAAAAAGTACTGGTTAGTGTTTTGGGTTTGATTCTAAATCAAGACTGATGATAAATATTAGAGCTCTTCTATTTTGGATCCTGGTCAACTTGGTGTAACTTTAGAGTACTTTCATTGTGGTGTTCTGATCCACCTATGTTGCTTGTGTATCATAGAAACAGTTTCAGGCTTTTCTTGTCTGAGCAGTTCTAAATTTGATTCTGTCGGTGTGCAATAATATATACCCAGTCTATTGTCTTGAGGTATTTCAGACAATAGGTTAAAGCTGTAGCTTTGTAATGTATTGCAAAATCAGCTATGCATTTGCTCTTCTGGCCGGTGGGGTAGGAGGGTTAAAGAATTGCTTTGCACAATTTTCTGTTTTGCCTGAACTTAATGGATCTCGTGGAAGCTCATTAATAAAATGCTCGTTCTTGCTTCTGTTAACAGTCATGTTAAACATGGTTTCAGAATAACTGCTATGCTGTTGACAGATAGGAAATAATAATACTCCTTGAATTTTTATAAAATTGCGTTGCTGAAACATTTCAATGTTCTTCATAGGATTTACTGTAAGTTATAGTAACTGTAATTGTAGGGGAACAATACCTGGAATTTCCATGTGAGATGCATTGAAACTGTTTGGTTTGGATACTCTTAAGCATGGTGATAGGTTTCCGCATGTGTCAGACACCTGGCTGACCAAACAAATATAGGAATGTGGCAGACAATTTGAGCACAACAACTCTGTAGTCATTGGCTAACAATTCTCCAGTTATGTGTTCTGAGAGGATCTGCCTAGATATCAGTGAATTTGCCACTTTTTCTATTATATTGTACATTTTTAAGGTTTTCTGTTCTCACCAATAATTTGAAATGAACTGTGGCAGTCCATTCATTAATTACCACATGTATTGTGATGTATGGGTTTTCTTTTCCTTCAATGAAAGCACCATGGTAGATAAATGCCAGATTTGTTACTCCTAAAATCGTGCGGCTTGTTTATTTTCTCTTTCAAATAACAAGAAACCGTATAATAGTTTCTATTGCCGAGAGCACATGGCATTGACTTGATGCTTGAAAGACAGTTTGGATAGGCGACCAGCAGAATGTTGTGCGTTGTCAAAAGGAGCAATGCTCATCACAACACCTGCCTTTTTAGAGAAGGATTTATTTTGGAGACGAGCAAGAGTTTTATTAGCTTATTCTGTAAATGCATCTATTCTTGCATAACAAAAGGATGCAAAACTAGAGGGATTTGCAAAGACTCATTCCTAAGTTTATTTTCTAAGGCAACAGATATGATGAGGAGGGAGTGTTCAAGTCTCTCCTCTGCTTCCTGCTGTCAGTTTTGACTATTAAATCAAGAATTCAGGCCAAACTATAGACCATCTCAGAGACTGAGAAACAATATCTACTTTCCTTATATTTTGGTAATGGTCTAATCTGATCGACAAACTGTCAGTCTGCTGTATTGTTGCCAGGAGTTGACAGGGAAAGTAAAGAGATGCTTTACAGTAAACCTGGATTAATAGTAAACCCCTATCATATTGTTGGAATGCTTTGCAACTCAAAGAACTGCAAAAGCTGTAGGCTGTAGTGCCATTGTACACTTCAACCCTGGAGGGGAAGTTTCTGAGCAACTCCAGATAATTGTAAATTTAGCCGTGGCACTATTTGGAACAAATCAGTAAACTCCTGATAACAAGACCCTAGCTTAACTTGTCACTACTACTTAAGTAGCCAGTTGTCAATATCCAGGCTGCTTCCCATGCAAAATGTTAATAAGGGACTCCACTTTATATGTCGCTCTGCTTAACATGTAACTAGTCACATTCAAGAAATTCTTTAAGTACTTACAATGTAAAATTGATCAGATAACTAATCCGAGAAGATGGGATCTTCCATCACAGAGGCCTCCTCATTCATAGATGGATGTTATGACGGTTGGAGTTCAGTGGTTAGAGGACTCGCCTTCCAGGTGAGAGACCAGGGTTCGAATCCCAGCAGGGTGAAACCTTGGGCAAGTTTACTTACTCCACACGCCTGATAATAATCCCTCAAGAAAAAAAAATAATAATAATTTGGTCACTCAATCCATAACTGTTTGCGGACACTGCTCTGCGCGCAATTGGCTGCCGTGTTTCTCCCACAAAATATATCACTTTACAATCTATTCTGTGAAGCGCTCTGAGACATCTAGACGTGAAAAGCACTATATCAAATGCAAGGATTATTATTATGAGATTCTTTCATTTTTTTCAACAAATATTTGCAGCTTTGAGCTGTTAGTCTAATCACTCTCCATTGAGATGCTTACACTCATCGTGGTGCCATTCTTTGGATAAAATGTTAAAAGTAAGGTCCGGTCTGCCCGTTCAGTACCCATGGCACTCTTCGAAAACAGAAAGGCACAATCTGGCCAACATCCCCTAAATAAAATTGGTCATTCACTTTGTGACTGTTTACAAATTGATTGCCTACAAATATAGTCACTACAGATTGCAGAAAAACTCTGGAAAGTGCTTTGAGGAATATCAACGTAAGATGTACAAGTGCTGGTGCATGAAGAGACAACTATAGTCTTGTTGTTGATGTGTCTGTAGGTAGGTGAATCAGTAGCGTTATTTGTCATATGTTTTTTTTATTACTGTATTAATACTCAAATGCTATTTGTCAACTTGAAAAGAAACCCTCTGAGTTTATTTGGTGGATACACTATAATCAAAAGGCTCTATCTTTGTCTCCTCATAGCTTTTTCCTGTTCTTTGTAAATGTTTTTCTTACATGAAACAAAAGATATTTGGAGTCGGTAACTAAATGTGATAGGAACCAAAATAGGACATTGCAGAAGTGTCAGCAGGGTTCCATCTTAACTCTGTTCTCCACCAGCACAGTTTTTATTAAACACCAGACAGAACATGACCCTGTATCCACTTTATGTTACACCACATGGAGCTGTTACATTGATCCATAATTCAGCTGAACCATGTTTGATTCTAAATCTTTTTTTCTCTCGATGGTTTATTCTAACCGGGGAACCTGTCCGGGCTCCATTGTTGAATCCTGACCTCCAAAAGTCTAACAACATATCCTTTTATTTCCGAGAAGCACTGAATGATGAAATGTTTCCATGGTTCTGTTCAGTTCTCTGATGCTCCTCTGGTGATCATTGCTGGAGTCTTTCATTAAACAATGGTAGTTGTAGCGATGTAGAGCCAATCCATTCTCCATTGTCCTTCCAACTCATATAACTTCCAGGGATATGCCAGCCCGTCAAATGGTGCATGTCAAAGTGGTGAAGCAAGATATAGTGGGAAAATAAAAAAGGCAGCAGTACATGTTTTAAAGACAGCAAGTACATGTTAACCTACTAGAACAGTTTGAGAATTTTTTTTATATGGTTATTTAACACCACCTATCAAAGCTATGGAAATTTGAAACATTTTATTATCAAATCTATTCTGAAATGGTGGCATTTCAGTCAGTAGTTATCAACTGGTTTTTAGCTCTAAACACCCCCTGTAGTTTCTGGGATGTGGTTTGAACTCATTGGAGCTCCGTTGGTACTCTTTAAAACATTTTTGCCACTAACTGAAGCTGCTTTTACAGGATAGCCAGTGGATTACCAGCCGATATGCTATTTTTAGATCAATAAAATAATTTTTCTATGATCGGGAGTGTCCAGGAGGAAATCCTGTGCAAAAAGATGATGCATACGGATTTTTATCAGCAAGGCTCTGCTTAGTCCTTGGACAAAGTGGAGGATGTCTGAAGGATGGAAGCAAGGGCTTCCGTGGAACCTGTTTTTCATTCAGTCTGAACCCAAGGATGTGAATCTTATTTTTTAAAGAACCTTCAGTTGTCACTGCAGGAAGTTTGTAAATTACTGTGTGTCAAGCTTAGCTCAGCTGATAGCACTCTCACCTCTGAGTCAAAAGGTTGTGAGTTCAAAGTCAGGAGCTGGAATTCATATAGTCTCTACTGGCATTCCATTATAGTGTGCAAGAGGAAATCCTGGACACTCCAGCAATGCAGCTGTGTAATGCTGTGCTACATTGTTGGAGGTGCCGTCCATCAGATAGGACGTTATATTGAGGTCTGACTGTTCAGGTGGATATTAAAGATCCCATGGCAGAAGTCAAAAAGAGAAGGGAATTTCTCCTGGTGTTCTGGCTACCAATCTCCCAAATAAAATTGGTCACTCACTCCATAGCTGTTGTGGGACATTCCTGTGTGCAAATTAGCTGCTGTGTTCACTCACAAAATACACAATCACTACACTTTTCCCTGTGAAGCACTTTGAGACATCTTCCTGACATGAAAGGCGGTATATTATTACATTTTGCCCATTTTCTTTTTGATATCAATTATTAACAGTATAATATATTGGTATGTTAAGAGTAGATGTATGGTATGGGTACCAGGAAAGGTTTGTCTATGATGCTGCTGTGATCAAATAGACTGCCAGAATCCAGATAAGATATCTTATCTCCCTCGGGGGGGGGGGGGGGGGGGGGCTGTATGACTGTCAGTGCCCTAAAATGCTACCTCAGCAAGAGTTGCCTCCTTCAAGAGAGGTTTATTTTTGTCAGCTGGGTATCTGACACATGCTTAAGAGTATCCAAACAAAACTGAGAGCACATGGAAATTCCACAGATAGATGTTGGAGTGGAGAGGTAAAAAAAGATGGTGAGGAAGAAAACAGTCATTGAGTGTTTTTGTATTGCTGCTTGTAATCATTTCTTCAGCAATTTCATTGAAGCAAAATTGTTTAAAAACCATTAATAAATCTGTAGATTTACATCAAAGAACTTCTAGATTATGCTGGCACATCTTGGTGAAATACAATGTTGGAGTGATTGTGTGTTATGTGCAGATCCATTAAAACATATAAATCGAGGGCGTTTCAGTTCAGTATTCTCTATATGAGAATTATCCCTAGATTTGCCTATAGAATTCAGACACTGGACTTTACAATGAATCATGTAAAGCACAACGCAAAATACTGCAGATGCTGTAAATCTGAAACAAAAACAGAAGTTGAGGGGAACACTTAGCAGGTCAGGCAGCATCTATGGAGAAAGGGGAAGTGAGTCAACGTTTTGGGTCCACGACCCTTCGTTAGAATTGGAGCATGTTGGGAGGGCGAGGCTGTTAAGGACTAACAGAGAGAGGGGAGGCAGGGCAAAGAAGACAAAGGAGAAATGGGTTAGAGGACAGGGGATGATGGGTTAAAGAGGTGTTAATAATACAAAACAAAGTGGGGGAGAAATTACAACAAAACAGGCAGACCAGAGAGAGAAAAGGTGTGTCTGGGACTTAGATAATGTGGCAATGGTCACAGAAGAGGGGGAAGGGGAAGGTGAGCTGTTATGGTCTGAAATGATTGAAATCAATATTGAGGCCAGAGCACTGTAAGATTGCTAGCAGTTAGATGAGGTGCTGTTCCTCAAGCTTGCGTTGTGGTTCATTGGAACAGCGTAGGAGACCATGGATAGCGAGGTCAGAGTGCGAGTGGGAGGGTGAGTTGAAGTGGCAAGAAACCAGAAGCTCAGGGTTGTGCTTGCGGAAAGAATGGAGGTGTTCGGCAAATCGGTCACCCAATCTGTAAAGCAACAACAACAACAAAAACAAAATTACATTTGTAAAGTGCCTTTCACGTCGGGAGGACGTCCCAAGGCACTGGACAGAAAGAGTTACGGACCCGAGCTGGGGGTCGGGGAGGATGGAAGGCAGGGGTGGAAGCAGGGCGATCGAAAGCATGGTCGAAGAGGAGGGTCTTGAGATGGAACTTGAAGGTGGCAACTCAAAAGCCCTTTGAGTTGCCCTGCTGATGTGAAGGCTCCATATCAAATGCATGGATTATTATTATTAAATCAGAAATTCTAATTGATGGGCAGGATCTAGGCTTTAATCACTTACTAGGAGTTAACAGCTCATTGAATCATGTTTGTTTTAAAACCCTTTTGCCATGAAGTATTTAACTGCTGCTTTTATTATAGACATTTCAAGAAACTGATGATGTGCGTACCTCCCCTCAAAAATCCTTCCAAAAACACCTGACCAGTGAGAGCCCAGCATTACCCGGCCTCCTCTCAATTGTGCATCCAGTCACACAGACCAAGGAGAAGGCTCACCAAGTTAGAGCCACCACCTTCTTGAGTGGGAAAACACCTAAAGGGATCTGTAGGTGAGTGAGCCAGAAGGCAGAGAGATCAAAAATCATAAAAGTCTTGCGTCCTTTTTTCCTGAGACAGTTGTAATCATTATCTCTCTTCTTGTTTATATGATACCTGTAGGTGACACTTAAATTCTTCTTTCTTTTCTGTTTTTGTGCATGTATGTGGAGTGAGTGCAAAAAGAAATTGGACACACTGGTAATATGAGCTTGGAGCCCAGACCATTCTCAGTAAATGCACTGTCCTGATATAATTGCCAAATGATAGGATGGGTGCAGAATTCATGAACAGGAAATGCTTAACCTGACTTTCCATTGACAATTTTGTTTCTATTCGTGTTGATGAAGACCTTTTAAACAGGAACAGAGATACAAAGCTGCAAGGCCTTTCAAAGGCAATCACACCTGCAGAGCTGAGCAAAGGATGCAGACTGAATCTCACTGCTCTTCCACCTTTTGTATTACAACAGTGCTTCCTGAAGCTATTTGGTTTTTACTTCTTTCTGATTACATTGTTGCTCCGCATTCTTGGTGCATCTGAATATTGTAAGGAAGCTATAGCCTGGTATGGGGTTTGGAACCATTTCCCACTCTATATTTCACCCCCACACGATCTGTGATTCAGGAAGCCTTGTTTTGACAGCCATCACAATAATACAATAATTGAGCAGCAATGAATGAGAAAACATGAATTGATTATATGGTTAAATGACAATTGAGCCTTTATTTGTAATCGTGGGTGAGCTGAAAGGCCACATATGTGTTCTCTGGTCAGTTTTTTTGTTTGCGTTCAGCTGTTCAGTGGTGCTGTGCTGAATAATTCAGACGGCCCACACAGGTTCTGAAGGCTATGGTGCAGATCTAGCAGTCTCTTCCTGAGGCCTGATGGTGCAGCTGTGCAAGCATTCGCTGCAAACAGTTTTTTTTGTTTGCTCCCACCATCACAGAAGGAGCTTGCAAATAGGATTAGCCATGGATCTGAAAATAATACCAACTTGTTAACTGCTAGTAAGTGACGGGAAGCAATTTTTCGCATTGCCACATATTATGTTGATGTTTTTACATCAATGGCTAATGGAAAATCTGGAGAGCATGCCATTATAATTTATATTGGAAGATCTTTTGTGTTGCAAGACTTTTTAGACTCCTAACACCATCTGTGATTCTAAGATTCCTATATGGAAATAAAAAGCATTGCACTCAATGTTTGGTGAGTGACAGCCCAGGCATTATTATTGCTGCATGCTGTCTGATGGTAGGACATGCTGCGTCATGGTTAGAGGAATATAACTATATGCTTCTGAGCATTTTGTAGTAACACATTGTCAGTGCACACATCTAATTTGAATTAGGAGGAATATGGACATATTCATAGCACTACTCAAAACAATATTTCTATGATATTGTCTTTCCTTTAACTTGTGAATGTAATGTACTACTTGGAGACCTGTAGCTCAGTGGTTAGAGCACTCGCCTCGCAAGCAAGAGACCGGGTTCGATTCCCGGCAGGACGAAACGTTGGGCAAGTTTCCTTACTCTACACGCCTCTGTTTACCTAGCAGTAAGTAGGAACCCGGTTGTTAGTTGATTGGCGGTCCGCTTTTCTGGGGTAATAATTCCTTCCCTCCAATTTTTTTAAATAATGAATTGGTCACTTAATCCAAAACTCTTTGTGGGACACTGCTGTGCGCAATTGACTGCCACGTTTCGCCCACAAAATATGCAGTCAATGCACTTTACAGTATATTCTGTGAAGCCCTTTGAGATATCTTGAAGATGTGATAAGGCGCTATAACAAATGCAAGGATTATTATTACTAAATTCTGAATGGTTGGGAGTGAGTAATATGACTTTCTATTAGTCAGACAGAGGTCTAATAAAGCTCTATCTCGTCATTTCTGAATAACTCAGCCATAATATTCAATATAACGTGAAGATCAAAGTGATAAGTGAATAAGATCTGTATTGTCCGAGCAATTTTCGCAAGTGATATCTGAAACATTTTCTGTGCTTAGCACACATGCACGCAACACGCTGGCGCTAGTTGTGACTTAATGATCCAGAGGTTTTTGGCACGGGAAGCTAGATAGTCAGCACCAGTATGCATTGGTGCACAGTTAGCACCAGAGTTATAAAGTGAGGCAGCACTTACCGGGTGAGAAGTTGTGTGATGTCACCACTAAATGCAATAAACATAGCTCATGTCAATTTATACTTCTATAGAAAATATTTTTGTTAAAAACAGAATTTTCAATGCAAGATGCTCGACTCACTGTCTCTCACAGCGAGAAATCTTCAAAACAGGAAAAATCTTTCTTTACAATATCTCTGACAACTAGTGGGAGTCCAACTTCAGGTGAGAAGGAAAGTGAAATAACTTTAGCTAATGTCTGGTATAGACTTAGCGAGTGCTTCTGTTATTGCAATTGGGGTTGACATCCTTTTCATTACCAGATGTCTATCCAATGCTGTCAGTCCTTTTCAGGATCCATACCAGTTGAATGCACAGGCAGAGTTGGCTGGTATTGAGTTAGGAAACAGCTGATGGCTTTGCATCAGCACCCAGGAACAAAAAGGATGCCAGTCTCCTTTACCTCAATGGAGGGGTTCACCAATTTACAATAGTTGAGCAGCAACTTTCCTAAATGAAATAGCGGGACTGTGTGAAACAAGTTGCAAAGCAATTTCTCTTCCTGATAAGAGATTTGTTTTAATACCAACAAGTAATAATAGCCCTTACATATTTGATACAGTGTCTTTCACATCAGGAGGATGTCTCAAAGTTCTTCACAGGATAAACTGTCAAGTGTAATGACAGTGTATTTTGTAGGTGAAAGTGGCAACATTACATAGTTTCCTATAAAATGTAGATAGTAAACTTCAAAAGCAGCAGTGTTGAGTATTAAGAGTAGTTCTTTCCCATCTTTTGTAATGTGTCTGTTTTAAATGTTGAATCAATTACTTGAAGGAATGAAAACATACTGTGTTTTGTTTTCCTGTTTCAGAAAACAGCTCTCTGAAATGCCAGGGCACTTTAAAGTGGGCTCTTTGCAAGAATTGCCAAAGCACATTTTAAGCAGCGCCTCTACACAGCGGCTGACAATGTTGAGTAATTTTCACACAACCCGACATCCAGAGTTGAAGGACGTCTTACCTGACAGACTTCCAGAATCTGAACTTGAGGGTGATTTCACAGTGCCAAGGTCACGGTTCAGCACAACCACAGGCTGTTCTACCAGTGAGGATGCAAATTCTTCTCTTATTCAGGAATTATCAGGTGAAGAAACAAATCATTTTAGGAAACAACATCTGCAGGAAAGAGCAGTATGCTTTGAAATGCAAAATGAAATCAATTCAGAAAAGTATGACTGTAATTGCAGACCACACAATGTAAAACGGAACAGAAGGTTTTCAAAGGAGCATTCTCATAATTATTGTACTAAAGATAATGGTAGTCAATACTGTACAACCTCTGAAGTCTGTTCCAGTACTGCTCCCACAAAGAACAAACCACCAAAGAAGAGTGAGAAAAGCTCTAGGGATTCTGTGAACCTTCAACACTCTTACAAAGAGACAGGGCTGTCAGAAAAAGGGTCAACCTGCAAATCAGATAACAAGCAAGGAATAACAACACAGTGCAAAGCTGATTCAGTCACAGAACTGCTCGGTGACACTTCAATACTGGATGAATTGTTTGAAAGAAGGAAACCTACTGCTCTACAGCCAAAAAAGGTTTCTGGGCATGCGCCGAAAGGCAAAACCAAATCTAAAGATTTTTGGGATTTTCTCAACGAGGCTAGTGACGGGTATGTCAGTGCACTGACAGATTTATCAGTGACAGAGAGATTATGTGAAAGTGCACCTTTGAACTCAAAAGAAAGGGAGAAAGGCTCCCTCTGGAAAAAGAATGAGAAGTTTTTGTGGAAAAAAGATGACCCAGAGAACGATCCTGGTGCCACAACATCCGGCACATCTCAGCTGTGGAAGCAGAATTCCTGAATCCTGGATAACAACCAATGACAGAAGTTTTCAAGGCAAATCATTCTGAGCAGGCAGGAACCATACATTTAACTGATTCATATAAGATAACTGTAAAAAGAATGTTTGCATCAAGATGTATTCTGCTGTTTTTCCACAGCTAAACTTGAATGGACCAAAAAAAGTTACTGGAGGAGCTTCAATAATGTTCAGTTGTAAATACTGTAGACATTGAAAGGCCCGAATTTATTTTCACTTCCAAAAATTCTCTTCTCATTCTTGGGACAGGACTGTTTTTATCTGCTGATTTTTGTTTAAGTAAATATAAATGTACAGTTTTGATTTTATACAGTTAAATTCTTTATTGTATTCTCATTAGCTCAGTTTTAACCTCCACATTAATGCCCGCTTGTGCCTGTACCTGTCATGAGATGCTCATTTAGGCCTTCATCAAATTCAGACTGAAATATTCTAATCCTCTCCTCGTTGCACTCGACAGGTCTTCCCTGTGTAAGCTGTAGACCATCCAAAGCTCTGTAGCACTTGCACTCTCCCGCATTATCTTCCCATCACTTCCATTCTCACTTGGTTCCACTGGTCCCATCTCTGGCAGATCAAATTCAAGATCCTTGTCCTCACTTTCAAATCCCTCTGTGGTCTTGCCACATCCTACCTGTGCGATCCTACTACCCAGCTGTTCCCTCCTCTCAGTAAACACCAACCTGACCTATCAACACTACCATTGGAGGGGAAGAATTAAGCTTGCTCTCTGGAACTCCTTCCTGGAGTCCTCCTTCCTCTCTACTGCTCTCTGGAACTCCTTCCTGGAGTCCCTCCGCCTCAACCTCTTCCTTGCTGTATTCAAAACTCACCTGAAGACCTATCTTTAGCCACCTCCCCCTCCTCCCCCAAAGCTGTTCTACCACTCAGGTTTCCAGTCAGCTTTGCGAAGTGTTGAAACATCCTAATGACATTAAAGGTGCTATATAAATGTAAAATGTTGTTGTCGTATTTATTTTAAGCATTTAAATGTTACTTCCTGTTGCATCCTTTTTTGAAGAAATTAAAACTGTAGAAAGCTGATAGTTTAGTATGACACCACCACGCACACTCTAATGTGCAGTCGAACATGTACTTATTTTTACTGATAGTATTCGTCATGCCCATGTAAATGACAACAGAGCAGTTTTTATGCACATGCATCAACAAATGCCCATTAAAGTATTTCAAGAACTGATTTCCTTTAAAGAGTTTGCCTCAACAACTTTATCCTAAATCATCAAGCCAGGATCTTGGCAGTAACAATACTTGTGTAAATATATATAATTATTGCAATGGTGCAGTGTTTGTTCTCTCTTCCTCCTGAAATCTGTACTTTTTTAATATTTCTTTGTCATTTTAACATGTATTCTGTCTATCCTTTACATTTGCCATGATTAAGGAGGCGTTCTCATGGCAAAACTGCTTGGTTTAAAAACAATTGATTGAGGAGGAACAGAGGTCAGAAGATCCAGAACCTATTTTGTCACGTTAACATTACTTGCAAGTAAACCAAATTCACCTAATTTATGCCATGGTCTTATGTGTAAGTGGTCTTCGCTGGTTAAACTTCAGCAGAACTCTCAATGCAAACTCTGGGGACTCCAAGCCTTCCCTCTCAACAACTTGCACCAAATGTTCTCTGGAATTAGTAAAGCACGGTGGGTCCCTTCAGGGAGAAAGTGCTCATTCCATTCTGCACACAGGGAAATTTACATGCATAGATGGCACCTATATGCAACCTCAGTCTGGTTTGGATTAATTTAGGCATGTTGATAGTTTCTTGTATGTGTCGGACACCCAGCTAACCAAAAGTAAATTCGAAGGACTAAGTCTCTAAGTGAATGTGGCAGGGAACACTGCTAGCTTGTAGCACTGGAAGGTAGCGGCAGTGCAGGTGAACACCTGTGCTTGTCACGAAAATTGAGAAGGGCAACGACCTGTGTGTAGATAAGGGGTTGTGATTTATGTCTCCACATCTTCCCCTTCTTGTGCACCAAAGCCAAATGAATGTCAAAGCATTCCATTGAAGGTTTTAGTTGGAATTAGGAGTAAAGACCTTTAACACAAAAGGCAGTGATTTAATTTGAAGAAAAGCTGCAGTTTAATATACCGTTTGCAAATACTTTTTGATGTCTTATGGAGGCTAAAACATTTTATATGAACTCATTAATAGTCCTTTTACTGGGTGTTACTGTGGTTAAAGGTGCTCTTAACACTCAGGCAGAAAAGATACCTGCACGCCTTTTCATCTCATCAAATACAGTCATTATTTCTTTAACTTTATATATGTTTGACTGCCACGTGATGCTTTCAGTTATTGGTAATTAGATTTATATTTCTAAATGTGGCTGAAGGTGAATAGTGGAGACTGAGGTGGGTTCTATCTGTTCACTCATAACGACCTGCCTTGGTAATGTAGTTTAAAAGCAGATACCTTGGGGAATTATTGCAATTTGTTACGTCTTGGTCATTTGGGAGTTAATGATATTTTGCTATTAAGCAAAAAATAGGCAGTGGGCTGAATTTACTAGTTATAATTTGCTCCTCGGATAATGGTTCATATTTCTAACCAACTCAACCCCCTTTTTGCTCCTCCACCCTCTCACACCGTCCACCACATTCCCCCCCCACCTTCATGTGGAGTCCTGTAGCTTAGTGGTTAGAGCACTCACCTTGCAAGCAAGAGAACCTGGGTTTGTTTCCTGGGCCGGGGCGAAACCTTAGGCAAGTTTCCTTACTACACACCCCTCTGTTTACATAGCAGTATGTAGGAACCTGGTTGTTAGTTGATTGGCGGATTGTTTTCCGGGGGTAATAATCCCTCCAATAGTTTGGTCACTCCATCTACCACTGTTTGTGGGACACTGCTGTGTGGAATTGGCTGCCATGTTTCGCCCACAAAATATACAGTCAATACAACAACAAAAAAATTACATTTGTAGAGCGCTTTTCACGTAGGGAAGAATCCCAAAGCACTGAACAGTCAGGTTTCGAGGGCCGAGCATGGGGGAGGGGTGGTGTAGGGGTGAGGGAAGGCAGAGAGGTGGGAGGGAGACCAAAGGCACGGTCGAAGAGAAGGGTCTTGAGACCGGCCTTGAAGGAGGCAAGGGAGGAAGTGAGGTGAAGGACCGTGGGATGGAGTCCCATATACACTTTACAGTATATTCTGTGAAGCACTTTGAGACGTCATGAAGACGTGGTAAGGAACTATATCAAATGCAAGAATTATTTTTGTTATGAGACATAAGAATGGGTAATATTGTAATGCCCATTTTAACACAGTTACTGGATTGCAGTAATTGTTTCACTTGTGACAAGAATACTTGTGATCAGAAAGTGTTTCAGTAGTCACAAAAAATGTTGTATCATTAAATCAACTAAATTACAATGAAACTGGCTATAGAGGACATACAATAGAATGGCCTGTTTTATACTTATTATTGATGCTCTCAAGCGCGAGTTTTGGATTTTGGTTCCCATTATTTAATGTGAAAAGAAACAGAATAAACAAATGGCCCAAAATGTACTAAAATAATCCCTGCATTTAATATAATGTCTTGTACATTGGGAGGATATTTCAAAGTGCTTCACAGGATATACTGTAAATTGGTGTGATTCTCTATTTTGTAGGTGAAAATGGAGAAGAAAATAACTTTATTGGACACAAGGGGGAGGGGAATTGAAAATGTGTCATTGACAAAGTTGCCAGCATTTTGCTTTCAGGTTGGTCAAGAAAAGTCTGACAGATCGGAAAGTAGGCATCAGCTTGGTAGACAATTGGGTGTGTGTGGTTTAGTTTGGTGAATTTGATGTGAATGAGATAATTTCAGTTGTAAACTGGAAGTAGCAATTACAGTGATTTTTAGTTTTGAACTGCTAAAATTGCAACCCCATTATGCGGTTAGATTTTACAATTAACAGTACACTACAGTTGAAGGAGACTGGGAGACTGACTTATGAGGCTCCACTAAAGATATTTTTCTTGTTTCAAGCTTCAAACTCTTGTTCCTCACACCATTGCATTCCTGCTCTAACCTGCTCTCTGCTTTGCCACTGAGGCCAATTGATAGCAGATACTGAAGTGTATGCTCAAGCAAAATCTTTGCAAGCTTTCCTTCCCTATACTGCATGTGTCCATTGTATCCTGTGCTTCATGACTCCACCTGAGATCAGGAATGTTGATGTGGGGCGGTGGGAGGCTGGAATTTGATTCCTTTCTAAAGTGCATTTCTCTCACTCATCTCCAAAGAATCCAGAACTGCAGTGTGCTTGTCATATGAAGTTAATTGGCCACCGATCAATGGAGAAGGGGAAGGTCCAGATTGATAAAGTATAGGACACTAAAAAGGCACAGTGGTGGTTGCATTTATCTGTGTGGAGGACAATAGGAGGACAATAACTTTGTCCCAATGCCTGTTTCCCGGGTGCATGTACTAATCTAGAACAACAACAACTTTATATAGCACTCCTCACACAGGGTAGCATCCCAGAGCGCTTAACAGTGGCGGAGCACAACTCCATGCTGGAGGGCTGGGGAAGTGACCATAAGCAAATTTAAAAAGGCTACACTAAAAGTAGTATCTATACAAATGTATGCAATGTATCAAGTATACAAATGGTCCATACATGTTAAACCCTTATTATTGTTGTTGCAGAAACATGATAATTAAATGATTTGCAGATAACGTGTTTGTCCGTGTGGACATGTTTTGTATGTTTGAAATCTGCGATTTGAAGGGATTGCTGTGCCTGGGGTGAGATGCCCTGCCTCCTGTCTGTTTTTTTTAAAGCAACCTTTTGTTGAAGTTCTCATTCAATGGAGGAATGAGATTCGCATGATAAGTTTTGCCAATTCACCATTTAAAATAGTTTTTACACTACTGCATATAAATTGACGTAGGTAAACCAAGCTCTGTGTGTGGGTGGCTGCATGTGCTGAGTTAGTCCAAGGGAAAAAATGGATGCAAAAGGGAGTGTATTCACCTATATTTTACACATATCTTGTATCTATAGACGGAACAAGGAGGTTGAAAATCAATGCCCATTGATGGATTAATCAGTGCCCATTGATGGATTATTTTCTTGTCAGTGGGCAGGTTTCTCCTTGATTGTTTGCTAAACCCTAAAAGATTGAAGTGATTCCATGTTGTTTTGTTAACGTGTTTTAGCACGACATACAGTTTTCTTACAGAGCTCAATGCCACAAAGGGAGGAATGCAATTTCCATGCACTGATTTCTATGGCNTTTTTTTAAAAAGAACTCACCGTGGTGGGTCTGAGTTCCACAAAGATTGTGCAATGTTATAACTTACACTGAGAACTGATGTAAACAGCTGACAGTAGCTTTTTGATAAGAATTGTGTATGCTTCGCTAGCCAAAAAAAAACTTTTGTGAACTGTAAATCTAATTCTTAGTTATTTGTGCTGGGATAATGAACTTCAATCAAACTGGCAATAAGGTTAACTCTGCACATTGCTTTTTCCTTCTCAATTAAGAAAATATGAAATTGAATTACGTTTTTCAAGAAATTGATAGAAGTAACATAAATTATGGTACCGCACACCCTGATGAGGTTTATTTTAGAGCAGAAGAAAATAGGGGAAAGCAAGGTATTAATTTCATTGGGTTTTAACTTGTTATGTATTCAATTGTGTGTTTCAATAGAAATTGACGAGAGTTCAGAGGTGAATTCTGCTAGGTGCTGGTGCATAGCCGAGGTTCCTCATGAGCCTATGAATTCATTATGTTGCAGTGTCACTGAATGCGCACGTTTTAAACTAATACTTCAGAAAGAAAATTAAATTATCACTGCCTTACATTGTTTGAGCTCAGCAATGTTGAGAATTGGCACAGGGATTTGCAGGCTCTTTCAGGCTTCACAAAGAGTGCTTACATATGGGTGTGAACTCCAACAAGGGAGAAGGAGCCACGAAAGCCCATTAAAATGTTTCTCATGCAATTCCTTTCCACTTTAATTGAAAAGGATTTGATTGTTTTCATTTGGCCTGAGTATAGAATGTTTTTGTGAACCGCTCTCTCAAACTTGGCCAACACCCTTTTTCTCTCTTTAGGTTCTTCACAACGTGCACTGTTCCCCAGACGCAAATGGTCAGTCATCTTCTTTCTGGAGCCTTTGTCAATACCGTTCTTCAGCCACCAACTAGGAGAT